CTTTGCTTCACACACACACACACACACACACACACACACACACACACACACACACACACACACACACGCAGAGGAAGGCACACATATGCACAGGATCTTGGTAAATAGTCTAGATAGTTCAGGCTGACCTCAAACCTATTATTCTTCTGCCCTAACCAACCATGTCTATTTCTTATATTATGTTTTTGGGGTTTTGGGTTTTGGGTAGCCCTGGCTCTCCTGGAACTCAATTTGTAGACCAGGCTGGCCTCAAACTCACTGAGATCCACCTGCTTCTGCTTCTGAAGTGCTGAGATTAAAGGTGTGCACCACCACCACCACCACCAGGCTCTTACATTAAGTTTTAAAGCAAATTCTAACTTACCCACAACCTTTGAAAAGATAAATATAAATGATGGGAAAACCTTGAAATGCTGGCAGTATTGTCTCTGGAAGATAGGATGAGGTTTAGATGTCTGATATTTAAAAGAAAATTGCTTTTAGGTGGTATGATGGTGCATGCCTTTAGTCTAACACTTGGGAGACAGAGACAGACATATCTCTGCGAATTCGAGGATGGCCTGGTCTACATAGTGAGACTTTGTCTCAAAAAAGCAAAAGAATAAACCTAAAGTTTTTTTTGCTTTTACTTTTAATAAAAAATTACTGCTTAGAAAAAAGCTAATGCAATTCTTATTAAAATAAAGTAGGAATCCAAATTTCATTTGCCCTTGATTTAAATAAATTTGTGTGTTATATATGTTTATGTCTATTCACTGAAATTTAAAATCTAGTGATATTGAGGCAGGATAGAGACAGAGAAAAAATTATGGGGGCATGGGAACAAACAGGAACTTCTCAGCCCAGAGTCTGATTAAATGACAAGCAAGAATTATAGCACAGCTAATATTTGCTGTGAATGGTACTGACTTACAGGCAGTATTCTTTTCATACACAGACATTTTATGTTTAAAAAACAAGGAGCCAGGCTGGAGACGCAGTGCACGGTGTTGGATTTAGCCTCGTTGCTGTACCAACATTTTCTGAAAATCTTAAATAAGACTGTTGACTTTGTTTACAATGAAGATGCCCTACTTTCCTGTATCCCATGATCTAGAGTTTAGATTCTAGACTTGTGCTTTATCCATTGTCTCATACAACTCAGGAGCCATCCTGTGATTTGAGGTCCATTAGCAACCTTAGAACACAACAGCTTCGAGAATAATTTATCATATACATACATACATATATACACACATATATACATACATATATACACACACACACACACATATATATATATATATACATATATATATATACACACATATATGTGCACACACACACACACACACACACACACACACACACACACACATATGAAGACAATGAAGTAAGCTCTTAGAGAGGCCCTAACCTGTGCTCAGGGATGTATCTTTCTCTACAGCACCTTTCTTTTCCTTAATGGCCACGCTTAAAATTTATATTAAAATATCTTTAATAAACTTCAACTCTGTTTCATACTTGTTTGTCCTCCAAGTATTTTCTACAGTGAAGCCAAAGATCTGCCTTTGTCTGAGTTGCAGCCCCTGAGAGATGCAAGGAACGCTGGAGAGATGGTTAGCAGCGAAGGTGCTGGCCCTGCCAGCCTGGTGACCTGAGTCTGATCCCCAAACCCACGTAATGAGGGAGGATAGAGCTGACTCCCAGGAGTTGTCCTCTGAACTCCATACATGCTGTGGCATGGACACACACAATAATAACAGAATAAAATAACATTTAAGGGCAATTCCTTAGGCTGCTCCTCAGCGCAGCACTGCACTTCTGTCCTTGCCACTGCTGCCAATATAAAACTGTCACCATGTGCTAAAACTGTTACCTTGTTTAAAAAAATCTACTCAGTCAAAGAGAGATGGAAACTGTTGTCATTAAAACACATTTAACCCCTGCCTGCGGGAGGCTGCCCTGAAGACTGCAGATTTCCACAGATTCAAATGGTCAGCCTCAGTTTTGTGTCTCTGTCTAATCATAGCTTGTTCCTAATGCCCCACGCCCATCCCAGAAGTAACTGATAGATACGAGCCCAGGCTAGGCTTGCTAATTTGGACAGGGGAGAGTGGGACAGGGCACAGGCATCCTCTTTGGTTCCCCATTGCTTTCCCCAGTCCCATGGCCTCACATATTTGTGTTGTAGATAGAGAAGACTCACCTCACTCTTAACAAAAAGGGGGTCAGCTTTTCTCTACCCTGCCCAACAGGTTATTTGTCATGTGGTCAAAACTAGCAAAGGGACTTTTAGCTCAAAATGCAAATGTGCACATTTCTTAGTTTGCCTAAACATAATAGCTTTCTTACACCAGACTTCGAAACATTGCTGAGAGAATTTATGGATGTAGTTCCTGGGGTAGAAGAACTTTTCCAATAACAAGCATAAAATAAAGAAACACAAAACCCTGAATTATCAATATGAAAAAGAAAGAAAGAAGGAAAGAAGGAAAGAAAGGCAAAAGAAAATTTGCCCAAGTTCAGAGTTAAAGACAAAGCTTGGTTGCCCATCTTTGTCAAGACTGGGAATTTTGCATGTGGATGATTTCCTGCTTAGTGGTCAGCTTTTTCTTGCTATGAGTGAAGAGGGTGAGTGGGGGATGGGGCGGGAGAATAGGTAGAGGTGGGATTCTACTATCCCTTTTACCATAGCAAGCTACTTTGTCAAGTTTTATATATTGTCTGAGACTTCATTTAAAAGGCAGTTTCTTAGACATTTCCAAAGTCTGGAGATTTGCCTGATGCCTAAACCAATGTAATGGAGTCTCTGCTGTGGTCAGAGCTAATCATTCTGTATATTTCATTGCATTAATGCTGAGCAGCTGACTCTGACATGCTCTCGCACCATTGCTGCATCCACAGTGCTCTAAAGCCATGTGGCTGGTGGTCTTGGTCTGGAACCTTCAGAACTGTGAGCTAAATAAAAGCTTTCTCTTCATGATACTAGCTAAATAAATAGTACCTAGAAATATCATACATAGGCTATGTTCCTTCTTTACAGATGAAGAAAGCAAGGCTCTGAAAGGATGAGTAACTCTCATCCTGGAAAGCATACTCAAGTCTGCCTGATACAAAGGCCACCCTTTGATGCCTATGTTATGATTGTTATGTGGGTGACACTCACAGGTGTGTACAATGCTGGCTAGTCTTCTGAACACAGATGTGTATAGTACAGCACAATTCACAGAGATGTGCTTTGGGTGATACACACTATATGGATACCATGTGACTGAGGGGGTAGGGGTAAGTGGCTTAAGAAACATGCTTTGGTCACAAAGGATGAAGAAATGTTCTTAGATCAAAGAGCACAGACTTGAGAAACTTCCCACCAGGTAGTGCATTAGGTAAATTTTGCTGGGATGGTCAAGGAGCCTCTCCTGGCTTCCTCATTATAAAAATCTTTTCATCGCAAATTTTTTAAACTGAAAAACAATGGCAGGAAGGAACAAAGAAAGCTAAAGGGGAGAGATGCTGAGATGTGGTAGAGTGACATGAATTCTGTGTGGGTCCATAAAGACATTATCAGCAACTGGAAAAAGGGACAGGCTCTAGGGAACATCACCCACTGGTAAAAGGAAGCGGCTGTGTGTCTATAGGAAGGAAGAGACCCTGTGACTAAGGCAAAATTCCATGCATTTGTTTAATGCTCTGAGTTACTATTTGCTGTTGTCATGTCCTGTCCAAGCTAGGCAGATCACACTCTCAAGAGAGTATAACTGAGTGCTTTCTCTTCTTTAAATAGTGAAATTCTTCCACCCTGCCCCCTCAAATGTGTCCAGTTCCTGGAAACTGTTTGAAACCCAACTGACTATATGGAGAAAAGCACAAATCCACATTCCTAAAACCATCTAACCAGAGAGGGTGTATCCCATCATTATCAACCAGACAATCAGCCAGTATATCAAGACACCAGTTACAGATCAGCACATGTGAGCAGCTGTTCCCTTGCAGTTCAAGGCTCATGGCATCTTTTAAGAGTCATGCTGGACTCTAGGAAACCGCAGAAAAGCCTTGTCCCTGAGATGTGGAGTGCATCTCAAACCACCTTAACGGTACATTAAGGAAACTGGCTATGGCAGACCACCCAAGGCAAGGGGACTTCTCAAGTAATCACTCTTGGTTTCTGTTTTGTATACGTATTGTTATAAAATAGGTGTACTTACAACTTTTCTGAATTGTGCTCATTCACAATTATTAAATGTGCATGTATAAAATTGTGTGTTTGAATCTGAACATTCTGAAGGAGACTCCTGCGGGGGCTTCTTTGCAGACAAGTGGAACCAGAACTCACTGAAGAACCTGTGGTCAAGCTGATGAGACTTCCAATGAAAAAGAGACTATCCTTCATACAAACAAAACTAGTATGTGCAACAAGAATTCCCTGTTGGTAATGTGATAAATGCACACACAGTAGCAAAAACCATGTGAAACTCACACTTGTTTGTGAGCCCTGAACCATACTTGAAGTTTGACTCTTCTAGTCAAAACCTTGAGTAGCCCAATCTCCACGGCTGTCCTTTCTTGAAGCTGACCTCAGTACCAGGCCCACCCCAGGGCCATCCCTTATGGGACAATTTTGCTTGCTGTTCGGTTTTGTGAGCAGGTCCCTGAAAGCATCACTTTGCATGTACTTGGGGGGATGAACAGAGGTAAGGAGGAGGAAGTAGGGTGGTCACATTATAAGGGCAGGAAGAGGTGAGTTCTACAGTGTGTTTTGTTGGCTTTGATAGTAGATTAGGAAGATGGGTAACACACCTGAAATTTCTGGAAGTGCGGGCTCGTCTTCTTCCCAGAGGTCCCCATCACAAACAAGAAGTCTGGGGTCAGGACAAATGGCACTCTCTCTTTGTTGATGCCCAGGAAACTTTTGTAATTCCCAAGAATGTGTCCAAAGTCTATGTGAAATAGGTTTCCTTGAGAGAAGAAAACGCCTGACATTATTACATGGCACAAGTGCTTATTAACATTTTGGTTTTTTGAAATAATTTTGCAGTTGCCTGAAAATGAACTATTTTGAATGAAAGCATTTTATACTCTTTTATGAGCCTTTGATATTTTCCGTCTAACCAGGTGTGTGAAAGCAGCAGCCACGAGTATCCTTTGATAGGCTTGTTCTTTAGATGATACCAAGTGTCATTCAAAATACTTTTCTCCAAAGTGTTCTTAGGCAGATAAGTCAAACTCTCGCTAATATATTAGTATCATGTTTAAGAGATGCCATGTCCTTCATGTTACTGACAGACTGATACTGTATTTCATCCAGCAGGAGGGGTGTTAGCTTCTTACTTTTAAGTAGTACTATAGAAAAGTCATTTTGAATTTCTTTTGGGTCAGTTTCTATCACTATTACCATCATTATCAGCAAGGCCACATTAGTTTTTATTTATTTGGTCTTTTATCACTTCATTAATTCACAAATGTACTATTCTTTTGTGTTAACCCTGTTCTTGCAAAGAATAAATAATTCACTCCAACCTCTGGTGCTTTTTCTAAACTCTACTCTTAAAAAATTTTCTGTGAGTCTATGTAGTCCAGGCTAGCTTTGAACTTGCAATCCTCTCCTTCAGTTTCCAGAGTGTTGAACTTACAGGCATTGGCCACCATACCTGGAAGAGTATAAAAATCTGTTGTTGAAATTCCATATATGAACATCTCATGCTTTGGTGGCCATTACTAGCTACTCTTTTTTTTTTTTTTTTTTTTTTT